GGACATCTAGAGTTAGTCCTTTCCTTTCTGTGATCCCCTAATTTGACAGTTTATAAGACGGACATCAGTCTTAAACATACAGTCAGTGCTTGCCCCAAAGTTTCCTCTTAGAAAAAGTTTACTGATGCCTGAAACTCCTACTAGCATCAATTGGGTTTTGTTGTTATTGTTTTGTACTGGTCAAGCAGTTTTGAACCTGGTTTGGGGAATCTTCTATACGTGAACGATAATATGTTATTTTATGAGCAGCTAGGAGAATGGACATTTGCTCTGCATTTTTAAATATGACCAGACTTATTGTCTCGACTAGCAGCTTATACCTCACATTCGATAATTAAATAACCTTAAAGGTCTGGATAGGTATAAAGCACTTATCAGATAAGGAGGAGATGCCTTTTGAGTGTTTCGGTGTATCTTCTTATAAGGAAGTAAATGTATTGAGAAACTGATTAACCACCCTTAGAAAAAAAAGTCGCGCGAAAAGATAAATTCAGCCCCCTTAAATAACGTAAGCCGGCTATCTCTTCACCCTCGTTTTGCGCTCTAACAGGTTAACTTTATCGTGATGGGACTTCATATTTAGTTTTCCATTTAATAAGTGTTAGACACTTAGGAGACCTGAAAACAGCATAAGAGAGCTTTAGCAGTTTTGTCATCAGTCAACTATTTTCTCTGGTCACGCATAAAACTTGCATACAACATATGACCTAAAATAAAGGATCATCATGACCCTTTAAATGTGAAAAACAATTGTTTTAGTCAGTTTTCTAATTTTTAGGTCTTCCCTGCTTATTCTTGGGAGCGTGATGCCTGCAGTCTAAAGACTGCTTAATCGTCGATTAAGCGGTATTAAGATGCACCTCGGTCAAAAAAGCGGTAGAATGAAAATATCTTGTCAAACCTGGTGTAACCGGGAATAATAAAAAAATATATTTACTATATTACTGTATTTACTATGCATACTAGGCGCCGTAAAATAATTTATCGTTTTTAGTGACGAAATCTCACGCTTTTAGAAGGCAAGCAGTATTGGAAGCCGTAATTTACTATTTATTTAAAAACTGGTTTTAATTAAGATGTCAACACTAAGTGGAAATAAAAACCGTCAAGTGGTTAATAAAATGATTTACTTGTGAGTTTTTACTTTTTTACTACATGTGTGGCTAGATTCTCCGAATATCGCGTACATGTTGGATTGAAAAGTCTGAAACTGGATTTCCAATGTATGCAATTAAGCTAGGTCTTAGCTGTGAGAAGATGATGTTTATGTTAATTTAAAGCCTGACAGCGTGCCGTTTATTCACTTTACATGCGGAAGTTGGAATGCAGGGTTTCACTAATGGGGGTAGCCCCCGTAGCAGGCGTTAAAAGAGAAGGAGAAGCAGGAATTCTGGAGCGCGCGGGAATGTTGAAAACGGGAACCTTTTCCTCTCTTTTCCCTTTTTCTCCCTCCTCGCGCGCCCCTCGCGCTCTCGCGCGTCCAATTCCCGCGTTCTCCTTCCCCTTTAAAAGCTGCCACGCAGGCTACTCTTAGGGGATTAAGCCCTTCTATTGTTAAGTGGTTTCTAAAAGGTTGTGGTTGTGTACATTGGCTTGCACCTCACACAAACTGCAAGCAAATGTGACGACATGAAGAAAGTATAATATCGAAGGTCAACCTTTGGAAACTGTTTATGTGAAGATTTAGGATTGTTTACTGCTGGTGATAAAATAACTGCTACGGCTAATGGAGTTTTAGTGTTGGTTAAAAGGACTTCCAGGGACTTAAAGGACATTGATACTATGAAAACACTTTATTGTAGTCTTGTGAGACCTTTATTAGTATATTCATGGAAAACTTTGTTTTTTTTTTTCCATGGGAAACTTGGAAGCCTCATACTAAAGGTAACATTGATAAATTAGAGGCTGTACAGCGAAGAGCCACCAGATGGATTACTAGGTCTGATGATAATTACGATACTAGACTATCTAACTTAAAATTGTTCTCATTATTTAATAGGAGGTTCATTAGAGATGTTACGTAATTGATGGACATTATGATGCAGGCATTTCAAACAAGCTCATATTTTGTAAGGACAGAAACACAGGTTTTGACTTTGAATGAGGAAAAATGAAACACAGGACCTTGATTATAGCCATTGATTTATTATGTGTTCCAAAACTGGCTGAAGATATCAACAAGCGGAATAAAAACTGCTGTCACTACTCCATTGAACACAGTGAATAAAGATTAAAAAAAGTATTAACTTCTGTACTTCTTATTTTGGCTTGCACCCAATGAGAGAACTTTTGTCTTCAATCCGGATTTTGTGAGTGGGTTTGTTTATTGCGCTCTCTGATTTCGCAAGGAAAATTTGTCGGTCAGGCTAGATTCTTCTAATTTCGTGTGGGAGAAAAGTCGAAAGTGACAGGAGGACGGCAAACGACAGATTCAAGTTGAAAATGTCTCAAAACAGAAAATGAGCAGATAAAAACAGCTCAAAACAATTCTAATCTATTGGATAGAAAATTCCATGAAACTACTAACAAGTGTGTAAAATTAATGAACAGTAAACGACAAGTAAAGTGGAATTGGTCAAGTGGTACAAATTCGCGTTGCCTGTTTGATAAACGTGATGCTTAAACTCTCTTAAAACTTAGTGGACTTCAGGGAGAACTAATGTCCCGGAATATCCCGACTCGCAAAGTTTTAACTTTGACTGAGAAGACCTTATCGCCTATTTTGTTTAGCTTGACTGCAGTGCTTGCAGTTTACTCATTTGATATGCGGAAGTTCAAAGTAGAATACCTTGGAATGAAGGATCAGGGGTTTATTCTAATTAAGCCTTTCTACTTTTTAAGTGCACGTGGTTTCGAAAAAGGTTGCAGTAGTGTACATTAGCTTAACCTGACAGACTGCAAGCAAAAGTGACATATCTCTCTAAGAACCACAAGCGGAAGGCTTTAAAGAAAAAGCTATACCTATACTTAATGAATGTTTTAGATCTCCTTCTATAACGTCCGAAAATCAGATGCACTTTTCTGAAAGTACTCTATCAGCTTACCGTTTACTGACTGTTTCAAAGCCACAGAAAGAATACTTCCTGAATGTTCCATTAAAGGGATTGCATACGGCAAGCGGGCGCTTTCTAGACATTATCCACACTTGCCACGGGCCACTGCAAAAAACCCCTTAACATTTACTTGCCTTTCACAAAGAAGTAACAGTTTTCTAAAGAATTATCATCACTGAACCGTTTAACAAGTTAAACCACGAAACAAAGTGCGTATGCAAGCATTGAATGAAAAAGAGCTGAGGGCGGTTTCCAGGATCCACGTACTGGTTTTCGTCCTTTCCGCAAACGTAATGCATTTGTGGGTGGGGATAAAGCCTTCTTAAACTCAGTACGTGGAATACTGCACGCAAATAAAAAGAATAGAATCAGCTTTCCTTTGCCAAGAGGGTCATATCTCATGTTTGACCGTCTAAGCTGCCCCAACTAGGGTAAGAAACTAGCATTTGGCAACAGACTTTAGATTATCGTTGCTCTTACAAATATCTATAATTACTGTTAATTATAGGAATATTTTAAAGGTGCTTTTGAAAGAGTTGCGCTCAAAATATTTTGATCAACTATTTTCAGATAGAGCCGTCTTGCACTGCACTCTGGGACCACAGCGGCACTCCTTTTACTGAGTTCCTGAAAGCGTGCCTCTATCAAAGCCGCTATTAAATTTACATATCATATGAAACCAATAAAAAGGCAAAGTGACAGTGTAATTCGAACAGTGTGCCCAGCTCCATAAGACAGCCAGTTTTCATTAATCTGAATGTAGTGATGAAATACTTGACAGAAGTCAATGTTCACGAGTCCTTTTTTTCTTCTTGTTAATATGCAAGACATTGAATTCGCTCCTTTGAAGCAAAACATATGATTAAGCACACGTTTACTTAAAGTTACAATACCGTTAAAAGCCAAAGAAAATGTTGTTTTTGAAGATGACTACCACAAAGGTTGTTGAAACGTCTGTTTAATGTCTCAACAGTGACCCTATTCAGGACAACACCCACCCAGACGATCACATTCCACCTACGTTTGAAATGACTCCAGAGCTCAAACATTATGCATCAGTCAATTCCACCTGCGCCAAGCTCCCCCCACCGCCACCCGGGCTACTGCGGGGCATTTGCCCGCCTTGTCAGTCCCAGGGGTGGGGCATTAGCAAATTTTGCGCTGCCCGGGGGCTGGGCATTTGCCAACCCCCCGGCCAAACCCGTATAACTACACAGAGGATTTTACTGGAAAAACAAGCAGGTCGGCTTATTATTCAAGGAGGGGAAAAAATTGAAGAGGTTTGTAAAGGCATGTTCTCGATTTTATGCATGCATTTCTTCATTGCTTATCAAGCCAGAATTACATAGCGGAACTCGGGAGCTATGGACGTGAATCAATGTTTTTTTGGTTATTGAAGCAAGTTTCTCTTGATATTATTTGAAGAACATCCTTTCATATTTATAAAACTATTCATAGCAGTAAACTTTACAGCGCACTATTAATTTTAAATATGTGAATAAGTTTATAACAATACTAAAATCATAAACTGGTGTCGTCACGGCGTGAAGTGTTAATTAGAATAGCGCTATTACAAAGGAAGACGTTAATTGAAGCAAAAATTCGCACATTAAAATGCTTAAAATCGCACTACTCGACCGTGCGATCAATGAAAAATTTTGCGGTGTTGACGGAGGACGGGGCATTTGCCCTCTTTTTTCGTCCCCACCCCGGGGAATTTGACAGCTCAAGATGTCCCCACCCCCGGGAATTTGCCATCCAAGGCAAAAAAAAGTTCTAATGCCCGGGGGTCAGCCCGAAAAGGAATTGACTGCTGCATTAACTGTAAATGAAACAATTTCAAATTTGGATCATATTGCACTTTCAGTGCCCAATCAGCTTGTTTTTACTTTTTGAGAGGATTTAGTATGCATGGCTGATTTGTCAAACATTTGGAAACGTTTGTACCGCTATAAAACAACCCATCCAGATGTCGACAGGTCATTTACATCTTGGTTCAGCAGCCAGATGGACATCAGAAAATTTGCACTTTTTGTCTTTCTCCTAAACCTGGGGATTCTCCCTCTAACTGTAAAAGGTATGCCACTCTTCTTTTCATCGTAGGCCGTTGCAATCTGTATTTGTACGTTCTTATACCTAACAAAAGGCAAATATTACCTTTTTTCTTTTAACATAGTTAAAAATTCTTACAATTTCATCTCCTGAAAATTAATTAATCTCGGTCGGAGACTTTCTATTTTGTTAATTATTCTTTAAGGAAAATGTATGTACTGGTATTTAGACCTCATATAAATCTAGAAGGTCTAATAGTTTCTCTTATATTTTTGAATTTGGCAGTGTTCTATTTACAAATGCAAGTTTGGGGAACACAACAATCCCCTCCCTCTCGTTTAAGTGACTAACTCAGTGCTGGAGCTCGCGACTAGAGTACTAAGGTCAAAGTCACTTATCGATGCATTTTTCCAGCTCATTTGATGTGCCAGTTTCTATACATCTCACGATCTCGAGAAAATGATTATATTACAAAGTTTCCAATAGATTAATTTGTTTGTTGCAACTCTGTTCTTCAAAATATAGTACAGTCTGTTCATTCAGCGGGCTACCACTTGGATTGAGGGAAAACGAAACAAAATTGTAAACACAGACAGGTGATCTATTCTTGATACGATATTTCATATCCTCGATCAGAAGACCAACAGTTTGAAGATTTCAGATCTAGATTTTGCCAGTGGGGTGAGATCTTTGAAATCAAATTAAACCTGCCCTTTACACTCCACACCCACATTCTGATGCAAAGCGAAAGTTTTAATCCATTTCAAACTTTCGAAGGCCACAGTGATATCTGGCGGTTCATCAACCCTCCTTTTACAAAAAACCTTAAACGAGTTTTTATTCTTTGATTTTCCTATTTCCGAATCAGTCATTCCCGCAGTTCTACCGATGTTCACATTTCCTAATTCGTGCAGCTCTGTTTTAATCCAATCAGAGATAACTGTCATTGCGGGCTACCCTTTTGGTGCAAGGAACCGAGCTTACTCGACACATTTATATTGTGTGTGCGCGCGTAGCAACGGTAATCAGTTCATTAATCTAGACATTTATATAGATTTGCTTTCAACAAGTGGAGTAACTGAACATGAACGAAAAAAAAAACGAGGGTAGACAAACTTTGACTCAAAACAAGTCTAAAGAGAGTTATTACAGTAGCTATACTCCGAGTTTGCCCTTTGGACCGCCACGATCTTTATTAAATATGTCCAAATCAAGAGAGAAACATTGAAACTTGATGATAAAAGAAAGCAAAAACAATATAAAAATTAGATGATATTAAAATTTGCAAAAAGATATTTACCTCCAACACGAGAATGCGCTTGTATCGAACTGATATGCCATTCGCCAAGTTGTTTAGTACAATTTCAGAAAACCATATTGAGTAATTGAAATTAAAAATATCTGTATATATAGAACTATTGTTCCTGAATATTCTTCACATAACTACAAGGCAAATATTTTACGCCTGGCCTGGAAATGTAAAGTGAAAAAACGCTAGGCTATGTTTTTTAAGCTCACATTTCGGTTCCCTACAACACCACAGGACACTTATTGCCTCCTAGACTTACGAACCGTAGGCCAAGTTATTTTTGCAGCGCTATTTAGATGAAAAGAAAGTTCATAATATTCTCGCAAAAGAACAGCTTTTGCTGATACTTCTTTCAAACTGAACTTCACAAAATGAAGAAGAATTAATTTCCTATCTTCACATTTTAATAACACACGAAAGTTTGACTCCTCGCCTTTAAAATAAACACAGACACACCCCTAGCCTCTCTTTGTTCATTTTTTTTGAAGCAACACTCCGTCTCGTTCCATACCATACCTACACTACATTGAGACATTTTTTTTTCTATTTTACAGGCATTTCCTATCAGGTAGGCAAACTAAACGCATCAGAAACACGTCAAGGATGGAATTGCAACAGCGGATGCAAGGCTCCACAACATTGTACACTGCCACGTTGCACTAACGTGGTATTTCCACACACGTTTAGTGGATCTGGAACCGTAAGTAAAACCTAAGGAATTAAAAATTACCGTATTTCCCCCAAAAATAGCCGCGAGCGACTATTCGAGGGAGGCGATTATTTCAAATATTGCTCACTAGAAGTCGTTCCCTAAATATTTTGTTTTATTATCTATTAAATAATAATAGAAAAATCATCACATCAAATATACTATTGAAATATAAAATATGGCTCCTTGCATTGGCAGGAGCAATCCTGTTCCTTGCTTATTTTTCAATGTCAATATCCTTTGCGTTAAGCTATGGAAGCACCTTCACCCATACTTTTCTGGCAGGCACCTATCAGTTTACTCCAGACGAAGTAGAAACATTTTACAAGACAACCTAAAAACTGGGTATTCCGCTTCAAACTTTTTGGCAGTCATTTACTATTACACTGATTAAGCCAGGATACCGGTAGTACCTGATATTTTTTATCAACCAGGCAATTTGTCAATTTAATATTGAGGCCTGTAAAATACAGTGCAATTAACCTTGTACCACCTTATTAAACTGATCTCTGTTATAAACAAATGTTCTTATTAATTTCTTTTCAAACATTTCTCCTCGTCTGATCAGCAAAATACACACCTGTTGCGTTTGTTATATCGAGCTGTCTAGTCAAATT